CTGAGAGCCTGGGGATACGACACAAGCTACGGCCTTGCAAGTGAATGTGACAGAAACAATATTAAAATATGAGATACAATAATAAAAATTATAGCATGTTCCTGCAGTTTGATTTAAATTAAGATGGACTTGGGGCAAACTTTACAATTTCTTTGGTACACTTTTTGGAACGACATACTATTTTGACATTTAAATCCAAGGTGTGTTTGCTCTTCTTAATTTGAGGTTTCACAACTGTAATTCAGGTCGTGTAGTATAAGCCTGGATAATCAAGTAGAAACTCTGAGAAATACAAGTGAGTACCAGCAACTGGATGAAAATCATGACTCTCTCTTGTTTTCTTTTAACAGGAAATATCCATATGTTCTCAAATGTCGCCAGAGACGCGCACTATTATCCACGGAGGCACCGAAATGAAAGAGCATGGACACAGGAGCAAGAGGAGGAAGAAAACAGGCCACAGGTAGGCAGGAGGAGGGATCTCTTGGGCTTAAGTATTTCACCAGGGTGAGGGGGTCTGCTTATACATCTGAAGCCAGGGCAAACCTTCTCAGGCTTAAATGCTCAGTGTTTGTCCTCAAGTGCTGCAGCCAAAATGGATGTTTTCAAAAGTAACTAGATTGTCTTTTATTACTCACTACTTCAAAAATACATTGTGTTGGTAGGATTACAGGCCCTGGAGTTTCTGTCACTGAGTGTTTTGCTGGTGCTTGCTTTTTGCCAGCTCTAATGGTTTGGTAGTCCAACAACAGTTAGTCCAAATGTGGACTGATAACGGATACGGAAGAATTGGCTCGTCCTCATGGCGTGTTTAATCTTTCCGTAAATTAGCACACACCATCCGCCCAGGTGCTGCACAGGCTTCTTCCAGCACAGGGCAGGACAGGTCCGGGATACGTTTCTACCAACTGAAACCTCCAGATGAGACACAAGGTGTCATTTATTGCTAGTGTGCATACACACATGCCGCCTGCCTTGGAAAAATCTTCCTTCGGAGGCAGTCTGTTAACCTACTGAGACCATTCTCTGAGGAAGATGAATTCTTCCCTGTGAGTCTCTTATAGTAAGGCTCTGAAAAAAACCTGATAGAGCCTATAGACAGCTAAGCTAGGGCAAATGAATCCCACCTACTAATATGCGAGGTATCCTTGTTGCTATCCCAGGGCAGATGGCAAAGCTTAAATAGCTGCATATTATAGTTTGCTCCTGATTAGAAAAGGCATTTTAGAAGCCAGTTTGCAACTAAAACAAAGAGCAGAAGTAAGCATCTGTGTTTTCTCTTTGATATTTTTTCCACTCTTTTGTTCTGCTAAATTCATTCAAACAAAAAAGCCAAGTGCTTGCATCCTGTCCCAAGTTACACTACATATGGTCTCTTAACTCTTTACTTTTCAGCCATTTTATCCAGTGTTTGAACAGAGGTTGAGATTTTTAGAATGTGTATAGCAAACTTCAGAAGATGCACAGAAAGCCGTAGGCATAAACAGGGAATTGCAATATGTTCCTTTAGTTTGGATTATCAGCTGGTCACTGACGGGTACGGTGCTGTGGGCATCTATCACCTTGTGAAGGAAGCTGTAGATGAAAGAAATGTCGTGAAAATAGAATTGAAAGAAAATGGCTTTAAAGAGTTTTCTGAGATTATTAATAAAGGTTATTTTGAAATTAAAATGTCCCTCAAAATTTGAAAGTACTTCCTTTTCAATTTACTTTTAATACATTGTTGATCTATGATAGGTAGCCTGGTTTCTGTGAACAGATGCGTCGTTTTCTGTCTGTATCTTGTCTTGACTACTAATTATTGTTGTTCTTTTCAGAATTCATATTCTGCATTTATTCAGTTGATGCCAGTTTTCATAATAATAATAGTGTCAGTTATAACTCAACTGATGGCCACAAACCCACCCTACAGCCTATTCTACAAATCGTAAGTCATTTAAAAGCACGTTTTTCTGGTCTTTGATGTTTGCAATAAGGAGGTAGACAGCAGTTGGACTTGATAGAAGAATGCGTGTTAGTGTTCTGTTCTGCTCTTTCTAGAAAGTGTTATCAATTTGTAAATAAGGAAATACTAACAGTCTCTGTTCACGAGTTCTCCTAAGCATTATCGCTGTGAAGTTAACTATGGTGAGCCTTACTGTACTGCCTGCTGA